TAAAAATAGTTATATAATATTTAATCCATTTTAGAATACATACTGTATATTTCCTAAATAACTTTTGGTGATTAACCAGTGAAGTGGTTCTGCTTTGTTTAATCCCTGTTCCAGTAGTTCAGTGAGAGGTGGTAATAGTTCAGAAAGAAGAGACAGCACTGATTTCTAAAATTCTATTTAATGAACATTGAGTGTAAAATACAGAGTGGATTTATTTTAAAAAGTGGCACTGATACTTAGGAAAATGTAGATTTTGAAAAATTTGTAGTAAAGTTTATGTAACATCAATTTGCACTTGATAAAACTGCATGATACTCAGATTAAGCACCTAGTAATGTCAGTTTTTAGCTTTTTTGAAATATTCCTACCTTGAGAAAAACTGACCAAAAGAATAGACCTTATCAGGAATTTGTACTCTGATCACTTTTGTAGTTTTAATAGATGTCTTGGAAAGCCAAGGCTTTTCCACAAAATTCATCTGTAACAGAGGGATGCTATAGCTTCTTAAATTGCAGCCTAAGTTGAAAAAGTGCTTTTCCAGGGAGTTAGGTACAACATGTATTTGAGCTTGTTTTAGGGAACTAGTCTTTCTTCCTTATTGACATTTTTGTTTTGCATGTCTACCCTCCCCCACTTTCACAATCCCTTACATTGACGTTGTTGCTCATCATCTGAAGGATTTATCAGTCCTGGGTTTGTGTCATCTTGGAATGGATGAGGTCTTTCTATGTAATAGACCATGTTGAGCTTTATTGTTTGAGTTTCTAAAAGCACCTGATCCTTTTTGTGTTCTTTTCTGGATAAAGATTGAGTACTGTAATTTAAAATGTATATAGCCAGTTGTGTGTTGGTGTATGCCTGTGAGCATAGCATTCGTGAGGCTGAGGCAAGAGAATCACCTCAGGTTCAAGGCCTCCCTGGGCTATGTACTGAATTCAAAGCTAGTCTGAACTACACACACTGTCTCAAACCCACTCCCCAAATTATATAAGCATCTTGAAAAGCAAAAATTATACAGATTTCTGTGTCATGGTGATTAAGATTTTTACACTGTGATTTATGCCTACTTTTTTTTTTTTTTTTTTTTTTTTTGGCAGAACTGGGGATTGAACTCAGATCCTTGCATTTAGACTGGACTTGATTTTTTGTTTTGTTTTGTTTTGTTTTGTGATGCTAGTAGTTCAGTGCAGAGCCTTGTGAAGGCTTTGCAAGCCCTGTATCACTGAGCTATGTACATCCCCAGCCCTTCCTTTGATCAGTGTCTTGGTAAATTATCCAAGTTGGCCTTGGCTTGGATATTACAAAGTTGACTTTTAGCTGCTGAATTAAAAAAATCTGAATGCAGTCATGCTAGTCTTTGAAAGTCTTCTTGTCTAATGACAGTGTCTTTGGCTATGTCCATGATGGAGGAAACTGGAAACTTACTGGCATTTAGTAGACACTCTGAAATAAAGCTCACTGCTCACCACCTTGGCTTCCATACCTGCTCATTCCTCTTCTGTGTTTCGTGGGAGAAGTCTTCTGTTAGATTGGGTAGCTTCCAAGCTTTTCTGTGTTACCATGATTTTTACTTGCTTTTAAGGTAGTATTTTTCTTTTTTTCTTCCTTGCTTATTTAGTAAGCTATTTAAAATAGTTCTGTAGGTGGGGCTGGTGAGATGGCTCAGTGGTCTAAAGCACCTACTTAGAACAAGCTTAGCAAAGCAGAGGGACCGCGGTTCAATCCCCCAGCACCACATGCCAGCCAGCCCCGCCCCCTGGTGGGCTGAGCTGGCCACACACACACACACACACACACACACACAAA